AAATTTGTTACCGCCAGGAACGATCGCACTAAATTAAATTTAGAGGAATAGTAAACCAACCGAAAAAGCCCAGACTGCTAACAAGCTCATAAAACCTTTTTTCCTGGCAAGGCGAATTCACCAGAGAATAATAAATTAGTTCTTCTGTCGCCGGAAAGGCTGCGCAACGTCTTCCACCAATTGTATTTGTTATGTACTGTCTGACAGACTGGCGCTTATCAGCTCGAGGCCACTCGACGAGCGTGGGCACTGAGCGCTCGAGGCTCGGGGTGCGCGGGCAGACGAACGCCGGGCTCCGAAGTGATTAAACCGATTTGACCAGTGGTCTCCTGTGAACCGACTCGATGTAACATTGGCGACGAGGCGGGCGACAACTTAAACCGGCAACGTTCTCGGTTGTTCAAGCATGACCATGACACAAGGTAAGCTCGAGGAGTTTCAAGGAACAGGATGGACAGCCTGGTCGGAGCGCTTGGATTTCTTCCTCCAAGCAAACGATATCATGGACCCCACGAAAAAGAGAGCTCTGCTACTGACCCTGTGCGGTGCGGAAACCTACGAGACCGTACAAGCCCTAACGGCCCCGAATAAGCCACGAGAGGTGAGCTTTGAAAACATCATGTCCTTGCTCCAGCAGCATTACGACCCACAGCCTTCGGAACTGTTCAACCGAAGCAAATTCCAACGCCGCGATCAACAGCCCGGCGAGTCAATCGCTACCTATGTGGCTGCTTTGAATAAATTATCTGCCAACTGCGATTTCGGCGTTTTGACAAGGCCGGCGGTGGCAACAACAAGCGCTGGAGCATCAACAGCCGTCGAACCGTTGGTATAGAACCCAACCATGTTACCACTGGACGTGATGCTCAGAGACCGTTTAGTCTGTGGCGTGCAAGATGAGCGTCTCTACAGCAAATGCTTTTCGCAGAAAAAACGCTGACGTTCAAGCAAGCTTACGACATGGCAACACGACTTGAAAGCGCCGTTCAACAGCAGCAGGAGCTTAAAGCCCCCACGGCCGACCAACATAAGATTACATCAGCGGAACCTGCAAAACGCCCCTCGGAGGCGGAAAAAGTGCAAGCGGAGCCGCAATGCTACCGTTGCCTTGGAAAGCACAGACAAGACGCTTGCCCATTCAGTAAGGTGTCCTGCCGGTTCTGCAGGAAGATAGGACATATTGAGAAAGCATGTCGCAACAAAGCGAGGGCGGGCGCACGACGCTCAACCCATCACATGAGCTACGATGAAGACGACTATGCCTACGATGCACAGGTCAGTGGTTGTGATCAAAACGACCGGTTCGACTTACAGGAATTGAACGTGCAACACGCAAGAGGTATCGTACCCAAATACCTCGTAACGCTCAAGGTCCAGGGAAGACCATTGGAGTTCGAAGTCGACTCAGGAGCAGCATTCACAGTTATTAGTGAAGAGACATACCGCGAGACCTGGCCATCTAAGCCTCCTCGCTTGCTGAAAGAGGATGTCACACTTCGAACGTGGACGGGCGAAGGATTGTGTGTTCTCGGGTCTGCGGAAGTCAAAGTAAGACATAAGTCCAAAGACTACCTTCTTCGGTTGATGGTGACAAGTGGAACTGTGTGCAACTTGATGGGTAGAAATTGGTTCCCAGCGCTGAAGATACAAGTCAGCGGGTTGCACCATCTTTCGCCAGGCCAAGAGGTCCGGAAGGTGGTTCAAGCACACGAGGCAGTATTCAAGTCCGACATCACGGGGTACACTGGTCCGCCAGTCTAGCTGGAGCTCAAAGAACCAACTACCCCAAGATTCCTCAAGGCACGCACCATACCTTTCGCTTTGCGCCCTGTCGTAGAGTGTGAGCTAATGGCTCTGCAGAAGCAAGGAATTCTTGAACCGGTCCAACATTCAACATGGGCTACACCAGTGGTCGTGGTCAGAAAGGCTGATCGCTCGGTGAGACCCTGCGGGGACTATCGAAGTACGGTGAACATCGCAGCTAAACCGGCCGCTTACCCCCTGCCCACCCCCACGGAAGCGCTGTCTAACCTCCGAGGTGGCACAGTGTTTTCAACGTTGGACCTCCCTCAGGCGCACCAACAGCTGCGAGTGACAGACACCACGGCCGAAATGCTAACAATCAACACCATCAAGGGCTTGTTCCGAGTAAAAAGACTTCCCTTTGGAGTGGCGGCAGCGCCGGCAATCTTCCAAAAAGTCATGGACATGACATTAGCAGGAATCCCTGGAGTCGCTGCATACCTCGACGACGTTATCATCAGTGGGGCAAACGCCGAGGAACATGCCTATCGACTAGACCAGGTGCTGACAAGACTAGAGAAAGCAGGACTGAGATTGAAAGAAACCAAATGCCACTTCGGGGTCAGAGAAGTCAAATTTCTGGGTCACCTGATCAATCCGGAGGGAATTCATCCCACACAAGACAAGATTCGCGCGGTGGTGGACGCTCCAGAGCCGACAAACAAGGCAGAGTTGCAGTCTTTCTTGGGACTCTTAGCGTTCCATGACCGATTTCTGCAAGATAGAGCGACGATAGCGAAAGAGCTTTATAGCCTACTGGAGCGGAAGGCAGAATGGCGATGGGAGGACAGACATCGTAAGGCTTTCCAGAAATTGAAGCAACTAGTAGTGCAGTACACTGTGCTGGCACACTATGATGAAAGGAAACCACTACTGTTATCATGCGATGCTTCACCATATGGTGTGGGTGCCGTGCTGGCACAGTAGGACTCAGACGGCCGAGAGGCTCCGATTGCCTTCGCGTCCAGGACGCTAGGAACTTCCGAGCGAAACTAATCTCAGCTTGACCGAGAAGGCCTGGCCATTGTGTTTGGGGTCAACCATTTCCATCAGTACGTCGCAGGACGGAGTGTGATCATCTACACAGACCATCAGCCTCTGCTAGGCACCCTCGGAGCTGAGAAGCCTGTTCCACAAGTCCTGTCACCGAGGATGACCCGATGGTGTGTCAGACTGGCAGCTTATAACTACGAGCTAAGATACCGACCAGGAAAACGGCATCAGAATGCGGACGCTCTTAGCCGGCTTCCGCTGTCAACCACTGAAAATGAGCCGGAGGTTCCAGGAGATATCCTGATGTTTGAAGCTTTGTCCCGTCCACTATTGTCCGCCGAAAAAGTGGCGAGAGAGACCGCAGCCGACAGCGTCCTTGCGAAAGTATACCGAGCCATCCAAGAGGGTACACTCGACCGGTTACAAACACCGCAGTACTCGGCGTACAGAACCAAAGAGGCAGAGCTGTCGAACCACAGGGGATGTGTAAGTTGGGGAGCACGAATCGTGACTCCTACACAGCTAAGAAAAGACACGATGGCCCTGATGCACTCTGGACATCGCGGGATTGTGGCAATGAAAGCATGCGCTCGGAGCTACGTTTGGTGGCCCGGAATAGACACTGATAACGAGACAGCAGTTGCAGAATGCAGCACCTGTCAGATGCACCGAAAGTGTTCGCCCAAAGAACCTATCCCTGTCTGGACTAGGCCATCAGAGCCATGGGACACCCTTCACGTGGACTTTGCAGGTCCGGTCAATGGTCAAGTCTTCCTGGTTGTGGTGGACGCGTTTACCAAATGGCTCGAAGTGCGGGTAATCCGCAATATGACCTCGACCGAAGTCATTAGGGAACTACGGGCCATGTTTGCAACATTCGGCCTGCCAAGGAAAGTTGTGTCGGACAATGGCGCAGCGCTGGTGTCCGAGGAAATTAGAAGGTTTTACCGGAACAACGGCATCCTGGCGGTTACAAGTGCACCGTACCATCCTGCCACTAATGAATAGGCGGAACGCATGGTACAGGAGCTAAAAATCGCTCTCGCCAAGAGAGGGAAGGAAGAACTAAGGTGTGCGCTTGCAAGGTTTTTGTTTAAACAACATAGCACCATTCACGTCGCCACGGGAAAAACGCCAGCTTGGCTAATGTATGGACGGGAGATTCCATCAGCTTTAGAACGACTAAAGTGTGTTGTGTTTGAAAAACCTGTGAGGGCAGCCGATTCCTCTTCCCTTTCTGAAGAACCTGAAATAACGACCGGTTCCTCGGACCCGCATGAGCTGAGCGTGGGACAGGCAGTTTGGACGAAGAAGTTTCCAAGCAGTCAAGGTTGGATTACTGGAGTTGTCGAACGTCGAATGGGCCTACGTTCATGGATGGTCCGCACTGATCAAGGATTGGTGCGCCGTCATCGCAACCATATACGGAAGCGATGGACAAACACCGAGGTGCGAGAAAAAGCGGACACGTGGCCTCCGGTCTGGGACATCGAGATTGACAGCTCGGCTTCAACGCAGCCACCATCACACAGCTCTGACAGCCAGGCCCAACCAACCAGATCGCATCCGGGAGCTGGCGACAAGTCAACGACTTCTCTTCAGGAACCAGTGTCAGCGCCTTCGACGGCCGGCACTAATCCCGCTTCGGGTACCCCCCGGCCCACCCGAACCCGACGACCTCCGCAACGCTAAGGGTACCACAACTAGTTGGAGGAGGTGTTATGTACCGTCTGACAGACTAGCGCTTATCAGCTCGAGGCCACTCGAGGAGCGTGGGCACTGAGCGCTCGAGGCTCGGGGTGCCCGGGCAGACGAACGCCGGGCTCCGAAGTGATTAAACCGATTTGACCAGTGGTCTCCTGTGAACCGACTCGATGTAACAGTATTATGATTTTTCTCCGATGCATGCGTAAGGAGGGCACGTGCATCCGCAGCATTTTTCTGAAAAATGTCCATTCGGCGTTTAAAGACGTAGCAATACTCAGAGAGGTTCCGAATTCGACGCGAAGTTTGACACGCACAAAAACGTTCATGACTGGCTACTCCTGCGCGTGCTCAACCCTATATCTCATCAAATTTAATAGGCTCCGCGATCGGTTTGATTTGAAGACTTCATGTTCTTCACTTTACAGCTTGTTTCTGATATATGGAAAAACTCCTAGCAGGTATGTAGAGCTTGGCAACATACCAGTTTTTATTTTCAGGTTCCGCGAACTCCGGACGGGTTTGTATGAGGGGCACAAATGTAGGGATTGGTGTGGAAGTTCCTCTTCTTTACACTACTTTCACGAATATAGCCCACGAAATTGGACATCTGTAAGTATCGCATCGCTTTTTTTAAAACGTCTTAACAGCGCGTCTTCAAATGTTACTTTAGCTGCAAAGTTTCCCGAAATGCCTGTTGAACATGTTTCCTCTGTTCCTTGCTTGCTTTTTGCCCTGCTTTCAGGCATTAAAAAATTAGGCGGAGTATTGTTTTATTAATGCTGTTTCACATTTAATTCGGAAATATTTATAATGTTTCCTGAAATACACCTAAATGTTTGCATACACGATCACGCAGACTACGTCAGAACAGGCAATTGAACAATATAACCGTAGGATAGATGTTTTAGGCACATATTGTATTGCAGAAAGATTCACAGAGTGAAAGGGTAGGGAGACCGCAAGTTCATTTGCTTCTGGCGCAGGGGCAACGATCGTGCCGAAGCACCGAGCTCTTATTGGTTCATTGAAAAAAATAGTAGGTAGACCCCATGGCGCCTAGCATTGAGGTCTACGCATTATCCTTTCAACCGAAGCCAATTGGAGCTCGGCATCGTTCTGATGTCACCGCAACCCCTGCGCAAGAAGCAGAGGATGTGCCCCCCACATGCAAGAATATGTTGTACATCCTTATGCATGTCAAATTTAAATCTTTTGTACAACTCTTTTCTAGCAACAAAAAAAAAAAAAAAAGCTGCGTGTAACGAAGGCTAGTTGCTGTTCTGGAATTAGTGAGTTTTAGTATTGCCTATACCAACGAACGCAAGCACTCTGTGTTTGCATTATTCCACACTGCGCGTGAGTGGAGTACAAACTACGGTCGCGGATGGGCGCCTAGCGACAAAGCGCATCCGCAGTTTAGATCACGCAACGCTAACGCACACGCTCAGCACTTGCGGTTTCTCGTATCTGCAATACTCAAACCCTGTATTGATTCTATACGCATGCAAATATTAGTAGAATTTGTACTTCGCATCCTCTTCTATCCATGTGCTTGTAAGTTTTAAAATCGGTGCCGCTGTTTTCAGTCTCATTATTACTTCTTTTAAATTAGCTTTTAAGTGAACTTTAATAGTATTCTAAATTAATGTTACAAATTATCAATTATGCACGTTGCAGAAATGTGAAACCGCTTTTTTATATTAGTTATTTTGAATGACTATTCTTCAAACAACCACTAACTTCCACAAATATTTTAACAGCAGAATGAATGAAACCAAATGCAGTGACGTCTCATTAATATGGACACCCACGTACCCTTAAAAATCGCCCATAATATCAGTTGTCTATACGAGTAAGATAAAAATGCATGTACCTTCCCAGTTTGTCCTCGAAAATGGTGTTCATTTTGCTGGGTATTCTTATGAACGGGCTCCATATTAACGAGACGTGTCTGTAGTTGAGTTGTACTCAAGAGTAATGAAATATCTTTATGACTTTATTATCTCTTCAAACTCTAATTACTTATTGATAAAATATAGATGCAGGCGTAAACCACTTTACTGCGTAAACCTATTCTGCCAGTATAAGTAACGCAGCATTTAAATAATACAATAAATCTAATACAACCCACAACGTTTAGCGATATTGACATGGGCGTCGGCGAGCGAGCCCGTGCGTGACCGTATCCAGAGACGTGCCCTGTGAAGTTCGTCGTTCTACAAGACTGTTCCAGAGACGTTATTCTCGGCATGGACTTTCTGTGTGAATACGGCGCCGTCATCGACTTTGGCGAGAACATATTGACGCTGCGCAAGCCTGTTCCGCCTTCAGAAAAAACCCAAAAAGCGTCAGCCGCCGTCCGAGTAGCTGTCGACCACGTAAACCTGCCGCCGCGATCGAGTGTTGTCGTACCCGTAGTGACCGATGCAGCTACACTCGGCGAAGTTGTTCTGGAAGGCAACCTTCAATTTCTCCTGGGAAGAAGAATAGGCGTCACAAGAAGAACGGCTTAACTTCAGGATGGGCGCACTGTGGTCCTTGTGACGAACTTTCGAAATGAAACGCAACACTTCCCAAAAGGTGCAGCCGTTGGCCACGTCGAGGAACTCCGAAGCTCCGCCGAAATCGCCGGTATTACTGACGAATCCTCGCCACCTCAGCAAGACAGTACATCGCCAGCGCAGCTCGACATTGACCCTAAGCTTCCGGGCCCGAAACGACGACAGCTAATTAACCTTCTCGCCGAATACCATGACTGCTTTGCGACGTCGTCGAAGGTGCGCCAAACCGCCGTTGCGAATCACTGCATCGTTACCGAGGACGACGCCCGCCCGATGCACCGATCGCCGTACTGAGTTTCCCTAAAAGAAAGGAAGGTCATCCCAGAGCAAGTGCAAGAAATGCTGAACGACGACATAATCCAGCCTTCAAGCAGTCCGTGGGCCTCTCCAGTCGTGCCGGTTAAGAAGAAGGACGGAACGCTTAGGCTCTGCGTGGACTGCCGGCAGTACAAAGGTTGCATTTGTGCCAGTGACAGGCGATATGTTCGCAAAACATTTTTAATCGTCGACTTTATTCACAACGTATGATTATAGCGTGTTCGTGTGTGAAAGATGGCATTGCAGGGCTTCTCTTGTGTCTTCATTGTTTAACATAGTGTACTCAACTCGAATATTAGAGTATATTCCACCGTAAAAGCGCAGTCAGTGCCTTGAAGACTAGGCCTACAAAGACGCACATGCTGAAAGTGGAATTCAATGCGCTTTATTAGAGTTTATTCGCTGAAAGCACGACCATTTTAAAACTACGAACGCTGTGAGCCCAAGCGGGGTATTTAGGAAAAGAGGGCAAAGGTGGGGGAGGGGGCCTTTTTTTAAGCCGCCCGAGGGTGATTTTCTTAAGGAGAAAAATACACGTACCCAGAGTCGAATAAGGCATCTTGCCGCCTGTCACAGTCGCCCCCGACTGGAGGTTAGAGGCGCGATTCCCCCTTAAAGGGGTACTCCACCGATTTTTTGAGCTACCTTAACTAACTATATTTTCTGACTCCCCGGCCTTTACTCTCTCCGGTATGCTATTTAGAATCGCGAAATTCATAATAGATATTGTGAAATCGGCAAATGAAAATGATCCAAAAACCAACATTCAAATATTCGCGCACTTTTCAGTACCGTGACGTCAGTGGCAGGCAGACCTGCCAGTCAAGCAAGCAGCCAAAAAAATAGAATATGCCAATCATTTGCTCCGTGCTGGAGCGCGGGTACTGCAGCGAGCTTCCCAAGCATTCATTTGACACCATGAAACTGCTTCGAATCAGTTTAAAACAAAATCTACAGCCCAAAAATTGAACCCCTGCCTTCCACTGACGTCACTTTTTCATTGTTGCCAGTAGAGACTTCGAGCGTGAAAAACACGGCGAGGACCAAAACTGTAAATTCAATAACTTTGAAAAAAAACAATATTTTGACCCAATATTTGGGATACTATTTTCTCGATATTTGTTGGTTAGTTTAGCAAAATTTCAAGCAAATCGGAGACAATGAAAAAAACAGTGGAGTATCCCTTTAATGGTTCGCCCGCCGGCCTTCTACAGGGACTGTGGACGACATTTAATTTTGTTAAGACCGGTCAGCTCGAGCGGTTGGCGCGTGTGCCCAAGTCGGGGAAGAAGGGAATGAGCTCAGGCGGACACAGGGGGTTTAAACAATAAACAGTATATTTACCTGCAAAATAAAAAAAATATAAATATAAATTTCAAGGTTCTGCGCATAGGCAAGCAACACACAACAAAGAGAAAACACTGAGGTTCCACACGGAACTTCACTCAATAATAAAATCAAAAGAAACAATAAAGAAAACGGTCGCCGCGCTACAGCGACTTCAGAGTTGAAAAAACTACATACACAATATTTACAAAGTTTGAACAGGCGGCGCGCATCAGCAATACTAACGTTGTAACAGAACACATATTATGAAAGAAAAAACAAAACTACGGACGGAGAGCATATGAGATAACACGTCCGTAAAAATTAAGTCCGAAGTGTATGGACGAGTCTAACTCAACATTGGCGTCGAAGGAGCATCGTGGGGCTTTCGTCGGTGGTGAACTAGCAGGAAGGCGGCGGCATTGACAATCAAGAGGCCTCAGAAGGTTTCACGTCACCGGACCGCCATTCTCGCCGGCTTCACTCCGCAACCACGAACGCCTTGTTCGCTTGACGACCCAAAAAACCTATCCCAAAACCATCGGCTCTCCAAGGAAACCGTCCCTCTACACGGCGGCGAAGGCAACACCGGGGGAAGGAAAAGAAGAAAAAACAAAGCCGGGTTTCGTCTTCCCGTTTGTGGTGCCGCAGCGGGGGACGGCTTGAGCGCCGTTCACATATATGCGACCGAGTACGACCGAGAGAGACCAGACCGGTCTTTAAGCCTTTTGCGACTTCTTAGAACCGGATGCGCTGCAGCGCATCAGGTCTAAGTGTGCCGAAGTGTCCCGTCGACACACTTTGGCACACTTTGTACGTGGTCCAAAGTATGCCGACAGGAAAAGCATTGCAACGGTTAAGACATAGTATCAGGAAGTCTTTATATAACGATTTGACCTTTTCTACTTTCCTACCTGAATTAAATCTTGTTTCTACTTCGGTTCAGTTCAACAGCACACCTTCTTTTTCTGTGTTTCTTAAGTGTGGGTAGTTACCGGTTGTATTATAAATACCTGCACTGATAACATAATAGTATGGGAGGTATACCTTAGAGGACACTAAGCCATAAATGATCATGGTACGTGAGCATGAAAGAACGGAATAAGAAGATATAAGAAATAGAGAGACATGTTACGTGTCTGAGACGGCAAGTGAGGGGGTCACTTTTGCATGTTTTTTTTATTTTTTTTATTGTGTTTATGCTATGCTAGTGTAAACTGTTTCAATTGCTTCACTAGTAGAGACTCTGTTTTTTTTATATGTAATAAACTAATCAATATCTAAGTGACCAATTTAGTCTGTATTAAATTATTAATGGCTTGATTTCAAAGGTCCGATTTCTATTTAGAAATTATTTTAGTGTCGACCGCCCTGTGCATGTGAAGTTTATATTTTACACTTTCT